AGTATAAATAGACTTTGTCTAGGAGTAGGCCAAGATGGGTCAGAATTCCGGTCCACAAGGACTAAAACCAGTTGCTTTATGCTCAACTGATGCATAGCTTCTCCTCTTGTCCCACCTGCTGCCTTTTTTGAGATTTTTTTTTTTTTCCTCGTTCTTTATTGCCAAATAAACGAGTCTCAGCATGGGCTGGGAAAGTGAAGAGGCAGGGTACAGAGAGCTGGCCGCAGATGCCTGTTCTGTCCATGACCTGCACTCTGGAGCCTTGACACGTTGCCTGGCTGCCAGCCCGGCAAGGGAGAGGTCCTGTGCCTCTGGGAGCTCCAGGCCCTGGCTTGGCTTCCAGCCCCATGCCTGGGGTGGTGACAGGGCTTCCTGACTGTCCGTGGGTCTGAGCCCAGAGCTCGCTTGCTCTCTTTTGGGACCCAAGAGGTTTTTTTTTTATTTCATTAGTGACGTATTTTAGCATTGATGGGTACAAATAAAGGACAGGGCACTTGCTGATACTAAGGGAGGCTTGAGCTTGGGTAAGAATCCAGGATTTCCACTATTTCTGCAGAAGCTCCAGATGCTGTGCCGATTTCATTGCATCCACCCCTGGCCAGCTGGTGCTTTTCAACTCTCATCACCACCACCTCCAGATCACAGGGCTGCAGCCATGTCCAGGAATAAAGTGTTAAGGCCCACTGACATTGCCGTCAGCCGACAGAGGGTCAGCCCTAGTAGCACGCTCCTATAATTGCCCCTCTGCCTCTGCAGACCCTCCCCCGTGGAAGGTTCTGGAGGCTGCCACTAAGGGCCAACGTCAGCAGCGCCTACCAGACCGAATGCCTTGGGGAGGCTGGCTTCAGCACTCTGTTCAGGATCGAGTTTCCAGCTTCAGCAATGTTTTGACTTACTCTATTCTTCTGACTCTCCAGCGCGAAAGAGAAATTTTGGAAAAGTGTTGGGAGAACCCAATTCGGTGTTCTTAATTACCTTCTCCCGATTTCCAATTTTCAAGTGTTTATTTCAAGGACCTGTAGCAGGCACTGTAGAGAAATCTAGGGCCCCACAACCATAACCACATTTCCGTATCTGCTGGTCTGACGCAAGCCTCCATTAGTAAAAAGCACCCTTAAATTGGCAAATGTCACTGAAGACTTAAACTAGGGAATGACATTTACTACAGTTGGTGGCTCTGGGACAAAAGTGTTTGCCTTTTGCTTCAGCTCAACCCGTTCCTCTCTCTTCATTTTCTGGAGAGCACAAAATTAACATGTGACCCATCTGTAGCCTTCTCTGAGAGATAGCAAGCTGAAGTTTTCCTTCTTTTTTTGTTAGCCAGCTGACCTGCCTTCAAACGTGGCAGGCTGCATGCTGCGTGCTGACCTAACCAATAACACAGCACAACCAGGACTTACTCTGTCTGGAGAAAGAAAATACATATTTAGTGTAAAGAGAAGATATAAACAATGGAACGGTTGGTTATACATTATAGATTGTAATAAATGAAAGTATCGAGTGCATTTTCAATGATTAATGTATGAAAACTGTCATCACGTACTGTGCATTAATCAAGAAAAAATGCACACTTCCCATAGTGGTTAACGTGCAGGCCCACTGTTCAGCTTTGATAATGTGCATAATAATGCTCAGTATGACAATGAGTTGGGGTAGCTGAAAATTTAGGATGGTTGCAAGTTTGGTGTAGTATTTGGATTAGCATCTTAATCTGTGCCTTGTCAGCCTCATCACGACACAAACTATGCATTTTTTTTTTCCAAAACTAGCAAAAATATGAACGTATCTTTTTTTTTTAAACTTTAAAAAAAAATCAAGAGTAATGACCAAGGTACCTGCTTAAACAAATACTACCAGCATTCATTAGTTAGGATGGTTACATGTAAAAGAAATGATGCCAGATAGTAACAAATCCAAGAGAAGTTTATTATGAAAATGGCACCTGCGGATGAAAAAATTAAGTTACATAAAGACAACCATGTATGTGACATGTATGAGAATCTACAAAAGTATAAAAAGAACCCTGTTGTAAATGAAGTATGTACATTTCTGATTTGCAGCATTATCAATGGTCAATGAAAAAAAATGTTTCAAAATAAGCCAGGCACTCAGGAAGTTAGGTCCGGTTAGCTTCACACAAAACAAAATGTACCATAGCTGTCGCTTTGTAACGTTTTAATTTTTTTTTTATATATACTGTAGAGTTGGTAACACTGCTAAGATTTTTACGAACAGAATATCCCTTTCCCCATTATTCAGCTACTTGGCACCAGTCTCCTCATAAAAGTTTTCATATATTTGTACAAGAAATAGTTAAAAACACAGACACAGTCTTCACAGGTAATGAAGTGTTTTTTTTCATTTTGTAATTTTAAACACTATGGATTTAGACAGCAGCTGTGATTATCTGTTAGTTTAAATCACCAGAAATCATTTTGACACAACACAGAAACATTTATAAAAGAAAAAAAAAAAAAGAAAACCAGCTGTCTAGCTGTTGTTTGTAGCTGACAGGTGCGTTCCTTTGATTGTTCGCTAGCTAGAGCAGAGCTTCCAGAAGTAATCTTTAAATATCATGACTGGCCTTCTTCACCTGGTAAACCTACTCATATCCTTCAAGTAAGCTCACTATTAAAATTTGTGGCATTTCACTTCTTTTAGTTATTATTCCACAGTGACGTGGGCCCAACTCACAGAATCGAAGGTCCTAGAGGAAACCACTCAACACAGTGATATTCAAAGGACAGCCGAATTACTCTATTAGCATTGCACACATAAACAAATATATATGACAATTCTATATTCCATTATCCCCTCCCCTTTTGTTTTTAAAAAATGTTGGTTGACCTTTGAAATAATTTTCTGTCTCACTGGTAATTGCTTTATATATTGCTCCATCAGCCAACCTGGAAGGAAACCAAAGAAAAGCACCCACTGCTTATATAGGTAGAGCACAAGGGACTCTGGGAATGTTAACAACTGAGGCTATATGGCATCAATTTATTTAATATATCTGAGCATTATTCTTCAGTGCTTTGTGTTGCACTCCAGAAGAAAAAGTCATACCCAGAACTCCACTGTGGGAAAAAATGGCTCCATTAACCTTGAGCTAGTTAAGAGTCTTTTTATCTCTGAGAACGAAGAAGATTTTGGAGAAGGGTAAAGGGGGGGGCAGGAGAGATGAGGAGGGAAAAGGGGAGACTAGGAGAGAGGGAGGGAAAGAAAGGAAAGGTCGGGAGAATATACACCAGCAAAGCAACAGCAGTTTTAAAAAAGTGGAACGGAGGATTCACAGACAGTAGAAGCAGCATAGGGTGGACATTACAGAGGAAGGCCACCACACAAAACTCACTAACCCCCAAGAATCACTGATTCACTAGGACTGCAGGAATGGGACTGGACCACCCCGGACTAGAGAGAGCGCACAGAGAAGACAAAGGACAAAACAACTACATTAGCTTAGTATATACTGCATATAGCAACACACATTGAAACTGCAATGGGACTGACAGCCAAGGACACGTACACATTGCACACATTACAGTTCTCACATCTGTTATTAGATGCCTTAAAAACAGCTGCCAAAGATGGAGTGGAAGAAGAATTTATACTTGACAGTCATTTGGAGTGTTTGACACTACACTGATTTCTGGCAACAAAGACAAAATAGGAGATTTTTTTTCTTTTTAGTTTTTTTCTTTTTTTTTCTTTTTTTTTCTTTTTTACTTAATGTGCGGTTTTTCAGTTGCAGTTATCTGTTTGAAGCTTATTAACCCATTCTTTAGTTTTAAACCGTACTGGTTTTGACCTAGAAATAAGAGAACCAAAGGGGAAAAGAAAATGCCATCAAATCAAATCAGTCCCCCAAAATACAACCTTCCTTTTTTTTTAGCAAGAAATGAAAAAAAAAATCAAAAACATGTTAAATATCTTTTCCTTCTTTTACTCTGAAGTGTTACTGAAGTTGCAAAAATTAGCCTCAGTTAGACTGAGAAAAGGAAAAAAAACACAGCTCAACAAAAGGCAGTATGTATCTAAACTCCTCCTCAAATCAGTTTGAGTTTTTCCAAAAGCCCCTTTAAAAAGGGCTTTATTGACCCATTAAATTTAATGTGAGGCTATGTTTGTTAGTTGGGAGGTAAAAAATTTTAAGTCCTGCAGCAAACGTTAATGAGGGCTTTGTCTTAACTAACCAAGGAGACTGCAGCAGCGGACTCCAGACCAGGACAGAACACATTTTTTCCAAAACCCAGCCCAGGAGCTGCATTTTGTATGAAGACATTACAGATTAATAAATGATAGCACCATGGTTTTAGAAATTAAGTTAATGTTTCAGTAATTAACATTTAGTCCAACTTTTTTTTTTTTAAACATTCTAGTCACAGGCCAGAAATTAAGTTTAAGAACCCAAATTATTTTTATGTGCAAGTAAGAAAATCTTAAAATCTTAACCATAAAAAGAGAATTAAATTCTGCATAAAATTCTAAAATACTATCCCCCTATTTTTTTTTAAAGGAATTAGGAACCAAAACAAACAAACAAAAAAAAACCACCCCATTTCATTTGACTTAGTCAAACAGGGCACATTGTTTATGCTTGTCTCTTTCAATCTTGATCATATCAAGATCTTGATGAAGAAACCCAATGGTTGTCACTTGAGAAATCTCTTGACCACAAGACTGAGTATTCTATGGCAGAGGCATATACACATTAAAGACATCTTAATAAAGATGTAAAGGAAAGCAAAACAACCCAACACACATCTTAGAAGAAGACAAAATGGCAGGCAACTGGTCATCTGACTCTCTGAAGGCAAAAAATAAACATATCTTTACAGGAAAGAATAAGTCAAGTTAAAGAAAGAGGGGGGTGGGGCAGGGGCCGTCGTGGTGAGAGAGGACGCTGACCTGCTCGAATTCAAAGTGCTAGAATTAAAAGGTCTAAACGAAAACGCCGACGATGCCTCCGGGCGGAGCCCTGGCCCGCGCTGGGCGGCGCCTCAGTCCTCCTTGCGCTCCAGAGTCTGTGCCGCGTGGATGCCGTTGCTGTAGACCGGGAAGGGCAGCGTGGAGAAGAGTCCCTCGGCCGTGGTGAACACGTTGCCGGCGGGCATCTGCGTCAGGCTGGCGGCGCTTACGGCGCCGCCGAAGGGTCCTGACATGTTGAGCCGGTGCACGTGGTGGTAGAGCATCTCCATGGGCGTCTTGGGGTCGAGGCCGAAGCCGGGGCTGTTAACGTCCACGAAGTTAACAGCGTGCGCGTTGGGCAACAGGTTGCCCTGCATGGCCAGGGTCACCTCTGCGGGCGCGTAGCGGATGGTGCCGGTGGTGTAGACCCTCTGCGCGGCCGTGCTGGTGGCGGCCAGGGTCCCCGTCACCCTGTGCACCAGCGGGAGCACGACGTTGCCCGCCTGCAACCTCTGCAGCGCCTCCAGGTCCCCAGTGTACAGCAAGGAGTTGGACGTGCTGGGGCCGCTGCCGCCGCCGCCCCCACCCCCACCCCCGCCGCCGCCGCCGCCGCCGCCGCCGCCCCCCCCGGGGTGCTTGTCCCGCGGGGACGCCGAGAGCGGGGGCGAGAGCGGGTCGGAGGCGACGGGGGCCAAGGCCGCATTGGCCGAGGCGCCGAACTGAGTCTTGCGGGCGGCGGCGGCGCCATCGGCGCCCGGCGGGGTGAGGACCGAGTCGGGGATGGCCACGTGCAGCCCCCCGCCGCCCCCGCCACCCTGCGGGGACGGGAAGTGCTCGGAGCTGGGGGGCTTGGTCATGCTATAGGGGGACTCGTTCCTGGAGATCTCCCGGTTGGGCGGGTAGTTCCAGATGCTGCTGTCGTTGTCGAAGTTGATGGGTTCCGAGATCTCCGTCTTGATCTTGAGCACCGAGGCACTGTTGGGGGACGACAGCAGCCGCGGGGGCTCCACGAGGCCCGCGTCCAGGCCGCCGGGGCTCGACGCGCTGGACAGGCGCCGGCGGCTAGCGCTGCCGCCCTTCTGCCGTTTCCGCCTCTTCTTGCGCTTCTGGTGCTTGCTGGAGGCCTGCGCGCCCGCCTCGCCCGCGCTGTCCGAGTCCTTGGCGCTGTCGGACGTGAGTGACTCGCAGTTCTGCAGCCGCAGGTCCGACTCGCTCTCCACGTAGCGCTCCACCTTGATCTGCATGGGGCCCAGCGCGCCGAAGCCGTCCTCGCCCGCCTTGGGGTTCTCAAAGTCCGAGTGCTCGAAGCTGTCGTCGCTGTCGCGGCTGTCCGGGTTGCTGGAGCTGTGGCCGTCCTCGTTGCAGTTCATGTCGTTGTTGCACGCGTTGCCCGACTTCTTCCGGTCGGGGTCCGGGTCTTCGCTGTTCTCGGACTGATTACCCTTCTCGTCGGACTTGGAATTCTCGTTGTCCTCTGCGTGGGGCCAGTGGCCGGAGGTGGCGGCGGGGAGAGGAGACACAAAAGACACCACATTAGCAGGGTGGGGGTTGGGGAGGGTGGGGCGGACGGGGCAGGGCTGGGGAGGTGCATTGGCCCACCGGAGCTGCTCCCCCACCTTAGTCACCTAAAGCCTGGGCTTTCTCTCTCTCTCTCTCTCTCTCTCTCTCTCTCTCTCTCCAGGGCCTCTATTAGCTGGGCCTTTACTCCAAGTGTGGTCCGCAGACCAGCAGCTTTGACATCACCTGGATGCTTGTTACAAATGCACAATCCCCGCTTTTCACCCAGCCTGCTAAATCAGATTCTGTATTTGAACAGGATCCCCAGGTGATCGTTTGGCATATTAACATTTGAGAAGTCCTGCAAAAATATTCAGGGCCTCAGAGTCAATAATCTGGAATAAGATGTTAGTGACATAGAAAAATGATGGTATGCAAGGTGACTTTCTACAGAGGGCTGCACCCTCCGTTGGTGAATATTTGTTCATTATTGAAAACCACACTCCTAATTCCTAAAGGTATTTTTCTTGATCGTGCTTAGCCCTGCAGAGAATCAGATGGTGCTTATTTTTATTTACTTTGATCTCTTCCCCCCACCTAGAATACAGGCTCTGTGGGGCAGGTCGTGGAATTGTTGTCTTCTTTGTTCCCTGCTATATGATACAGAAGTAAGGAGCAGAGCCTGTCTATTTTAGAACTTCTGCCCTAGTAAAGAACGTTCATATGAATTCAGTTTAGGATAGGAAAACAGTCAAGATCTTCTGTGCTTTGCACCTCCTTCCGCTTCCCTGAAGGTTTGTCGAGGGATATGGGCTTACAAGCCTGGAGAGCAGGTGCCCTAGGGATGGAAGGTGGTGGTGGGGGGAACCCCTAGCCATCTGGCAAGTTAGACGGAGAATAGATTTTCCCAGTAACACAACTCAGAAGATTTAGGGATGATGCTGAGTTTATGGCTCTGCCATGATGCTTTTAGATGGCAGCCTGGACTAGAACCTTGGGCAAATCATGGAACTACTTCATTTCCGTAGAAGAGGTTGGGTTAGAAGAGGCTTAGGATTCTTTGCAGCTGTAAGATACTGTGAGTTCTGTGCTCGCCGGCTCTAAGTGAGTCTGTGGGAGTGGGGGTTGAGGATTGGAGGAAAGTAAATTTTTAAATTAACTTCCTTTTGCCCCAAAGAACTACTAGAAAGTCTGCTTTCCGAAGAGTCATTCACCAATGCCATTAAGCATCCTGCTTTGGCGGCTCAACCCCAGCTTGGTAAAGGTGTGAATACGTGGGGCTCACAGATAGAGACTGTTGTGGAGGTAGCGCAGATAGCGCTGCCTACTGCTCTTGGTAAAGAGGCCAAAGCTAGCTAGGAGGTCAGGGCCGACGTGGAGCGAGTGCTAAATCAATCAGTCTCTCTCTCTGCATATTTGTGTACATATAGACATGTTGGGATGTATAAATATATACTAAACATGACACATGCACGTATAGATACCACATATGTATACACATATATGTGTGCACAGATGTATGTGGTGGTACATAAACGCACATGCACACGTGTGCAGAGAGAGACTCAGTATCAACTTGATGTCTGTGTATCAACCTATGTCTCTGGATCCCACGGAGCGGTCGCTCTGCTCCGCCGGCCGCCCTCGGGCCCCCGCCCACCCCTCGTGTTCAGACAGGCAAGCCGTGAGCGCAGAACATGGAGAAGGAGGAATACCTGTAATACCTGAGGTATCTTTAGAGTCTGATTCCGAGTCGGACGTCTCCGAAGATTCCGAAGTTTTCTCTGGCAGGTGGGGGAGCTGTGCGATATCCATGGGTGTGTCCTTGTACTCGGGATTACTGCGGGAGAGGGAGGCATTCATCAGGAGGGCAGACACCCATTCTCGATGGCCTGCTTCTGACCATCTTCTCCCCACGTCCTGGCCCCAAACTTTTGGAGTTGAGAGTTTAAAAGACGCCGTGAGAAATCATTTCTCAGCTCCTTATGGGACTTCTGTAGAAGCTGGGATTTCACGTGCTGGGGATACAGCTGCACCCCGCTACAACGGCTGAATACCCAACTGCCACAGGAAAGCCACTGAAAGGCTTTTAAATAATCAGGGAGCCCTGGGGGCCAGAACACTGTGCTGCTTGACATTCCTCCCAGTCTCACACCTGGGGGGAAGGGAGGGTGAGAAGTACTCTCAGCTAAGCCTTCCCAGGCCTCCTGGTGGGCCCTATCTTCTCTTCGGCTCCTGATGAGTCCATTGCCTCAGTACCCTTGTTCTGGTTCCTTGATGGAGCTTCTCAGCTGCTCAGATGGCTCCACAGCTACCCGGCGTGGGGGCGGCGTGCCGAGCCCTCGGCGCCTGATGATCTGACAGATGCACAGGTGCACCTTGGGATGCATGGGTTATGGCTACTGAACTGTCAACACACCCATTACAATCACATTTTCAGCCGCTCATGTGGTGTACACCTGTGGCTTGTTAGGCTGGGGCTCTGATTGCAGTGGGGAGAGACCCAGTGTGAACGAGGCCCTAACAGAATGGATCTAACCCCATTTGCACAAACGTGCTTAATTTTTGTTCTATTTTTAATTCAGAAACAGGCCTCTTCTGGAAAAGAGAGTTGTGTCCGGTCAGTTTGAGTTAGTTATCTTCTAGAAATGCCACTCCAAGGCCAGCCCAATGAACGAGCAACGTGGGCTCCTGTCATCTCGGGACGCGAGGAAAGCCTCTGGCCTCGAAGCGGAAAAGGGCCTCTTCTACGTTCCATGATGGCTAGCCACCCAGAGACTTAACCAGAGACGATCACTGATCCGTTTGCTACTCTCTAGTGAAGTTCCTATAGTAAAGAGCCAGCGTTTCAGTAGCTACTCCAAAACGGCCGGTGTCGCTCGGAGGGTTAACTCACTAAGATGGATCGTCAGGCATTTACGCCTTAGTGTGAATTAGCTTCAGTAGCAGAGCTTTGGCGAGATAATCGGATGAGGCTAATGGTGGGAAGGTGGCCTGAGCGCTTATGCTGTCTCCGAACACTCTGGAGTCCCTGACTCCACCAATGCGCGAGGGAACAGGCAGAAGAGCAGTAGAGGGCCAGTCCTTTCACGACAGGGACGGAGAGGCCTGAGTGGGCCCAGAAGTGAGGGATTCTGAGGAGGGAGAGGTGGTATGAAAATACTGCTCAGGGAGGAACAAAGGACACGAATGTGGGAGAGAAAAGCAACCTTCAGTGAGTTGCTCTTTTGCTAACATAAACAGTTGCTATTTTGCCAAGGCCACGCACGTCCTTTTCTTCTAGATCTTTAGCCTAGAGAAGTGATACCGATACATGGAGGGCGTGGTGGAGTTTCCTCTGCTGACGCCCATCTGTATTAGTCTCCTTTGGTCCAGATGCCACGGGGCTTCACAAGTCATTTGTCACCCAACTTGTAGCCTTTTATTATTGAATTCAGGGTTAGTCTTTGGGTCAGCTGAGATGGGTCTACCTTGTCTGGGACTGAGGCCCTTCAGCGTGAAAACTGGTCTTTGGGACCCAAACTGCTTCTGTCCTATGGAATTAGATAGACTAGAATCACCGGACACTTGGGAGCTTGTATCCTTTGATCCCAGGCTAGATCAAGGGGGTTGATCCCAAATTTCATGGACTGACCTCTCCTTCACCCTTCTCACTGCCTGCATTTGGGGGCAGAGTAGGAAGTCATGAGACCGATGAGGCAGTAAGAAAGATCCAGACCAGAAGGAATCTCCCTGAATGGGAGCGGCAAGTGTACGGATGACTTCAGTACCCTAAGTTACATCAGCACGGGGGACAGATAGCTTCTAGTCTGTGGTGTCCCTGTTACTAATGCCTCATTTCTAATAGTAATGGGTCTCCTTGGCACAGCACCATTTTTGACCAGCCAAAGAATGTTAGTGCCACACTACCTTATTCTGTTTTCTCTCTGGCATGTGAGTTTTTACAACCTGCATCACACATAGCCACTATTCCATAAGCCTCTTGGCAAAAGGATTCCTTGATATCAGAACCCATCTTGAGCATATCACAAACACAGGGGAAGGTTCGAGTGAAAATCAGGTCTCCGAGAAAGCCACATTAAATACACATACTTGGACCTTTAGAGAGAATTAATGTAGAGTAGAAGAGGTCAAAAAAGGAAAAAGAAAGTAGATAAATGAAGACTCTTTTAAGTGGTGCACATTAAGGCCCTCTCTAGAGCAATAATCATTAGTGTCTGATTGATATGCTATTGGTAGCAAGCACATTCATGCCTTCGAGTCATCACCGACGTACGCGAACACACTCTGAAGGGTCAGTGTGCTGATGAGCTATGGTTGTCAGCCTCTCGGCTCCATTTGGCTGTCTCAAAGAAAAATGGGATTCAGGTACTCCCTGTCTAGATTATCAGCCAAAGGGCAGCAACGTCCATTCATAAGACCTACCGGAAGCTTTCCTATTCAGACCACGTGTGGGTTCTGCGTGGTGGCTTCCGGCCAAGAGAAGCCAAAAACTGGAATGACGGTGGTGGGAGACGGCCAGGCCTCGAGCCTCCTGATAGTTTCAGGACAGGATTGGTGGAGAACCTCCTGGAAATTCTGCCCCCAGAAGCAGACCACCCCGGCTGTCGGTCTTGGTTTTCTTTTTGCTCGTTTGACTCCGGGGATGAGAAAGCAGATGAGGGAGGCAAGAGAAATGGGGTGGTGGACTAGAATTTAGGGAGCTGTGGAGCCTGGCCTCATTTACGGATGTCAACTTGAGGGCACATTAAGATAGCAGTAAAACTGGACTGAGGCCACATGGCATCAGGCACAAGAAGATTGCTTTCATTTATAGACTGATACTGCCCTGATTCTGGCAAAGCAGCTCACTCAGCTTCCTAAAACTTGAATGCCCAGGGAATCCAATGTGGTGTAATATGCTTAAGGTTTCAAAGGGATGGAATACAGGGGGGATATAATGCACCCTGCCCCTTCTTCCCCATGCCCTTTTGCTCAATTTTCTCAAGGACTAGAATGCATGAGTGTAGGCTGACGGGGTAGGGAGAAGCGGGTGCTTCTTGAATGCTTCATCTGTGGACAGAAGTCTGTAATTTTTTTTTTTTTTCCCTAGCCTGAACATTTGTGGGGGATACCAAAGCAACTTCTGCAGAGCTGCCCAAAGGTTGGCAGACCAAGAATTACTGAAAATGTTGTGAATCTGCCCTAGATGTCCCCTCCAAAATAGCTCTGATCTTTTCATATTTCTTTGAGTCCCATGGAAGGAAAAGCAGAATTTCCACATAATTCCACACCAGAGACTGCCAAAAGATAATAAAACATGTCAGCTATTAACCATGGGCTGCATATTTTATAACTGACGCAGAAATGAAAAAGAATTAGAAAATATACCTAAGAAGATAATTCACCCAGATGATATTCTTCTCATTTGCGTTCTTGGCATTAATAGCTATGGTGGCACTAGATTGTATCCAAATATATCCTCCATTCTTCTGCATCCAGCGATAGTACTTCGTCACACACTGGCCCTTATTCAGCACTGGGGGTAAAAACAAAACAAAACAGAAGGCATTGTGTATTGAGACGAGGACCAAATGATTATGATCTCGGCAAAACGGCACGCTTAGAAAGGGGAGGTCCTGCACTAAGCCAGGGGTGCCCTTCTGTAAGCTTAATGTAGAATGCCATTAGTAGGACAAATAAAATCAACAATTCAGTGGAGCGAGGGTTACTAGCATTTGTAGCAAGACTTTATTCCGTTTTGGGCAGCCATGGTGTGAACGGAAGAATAAAAGGACCACAAATCTTGTTGGCTCACAGAATACCTAATGTGGTGTGGATATTGTCAATGGGTTTGACGTCAGACGCTAACAAAGGAAAATCTGTATGTGATTTATTCATAGCTGCGAGGTAGATCTCTTTGAGATTCCAGATATTTGAATGGTTCCGAAGATGCTTTACCTGTCTTTGATCATTTCACCTCAGTGCAAGCAGTATCAACCAGTGTCCTCGTACATCTGTTCCTTTTGATCTTGTCGAACAGAATATGTAGTCCATGTATGAACGAAATTTACATTGGTCAGTCAGGGGAAATTCTGGTGAGACTTTACTGACTGTGGGAGCAAAATAAATCCCCCGGCCAAGTCAGAGAGAAACCCTGGCCTAAGGGAGGCACAGAATTGACTTGGTGAGAGCCAAACAGAGTGTGACAGCTCCACACAGGCTCTGAAATATGGCCCCAAATGAAGGAACAAGTAAAAACAATCAGTAATGTGAATGGTGCCATTAAATACCCACTGAAGGAGAGCTTTAAAATGCAGATGTTAAAAATGATACTTTAACCAAAATCTTGCCAAGCTGAAATTGATTTGATTTGTATCTGGGTACTCCTGAGCTAGTAAAGGGGAAAGTGTAGTAAATCATCCCCTGAAATAAAGTGCTATGGAAAGGAATGGTTTAAAATGATGCCGGAAATGTGCAAAACCTGCTGTTACTACTTGGCTAGGGATCCCAGCGACTCCACACCCCCGAAAGCGCGCCAGCTGGTTGGCCACTAGAGGGCAGTGTGCACTCGTCCACGTTGCCCACTTTTTGGCATGTCCTTGTCTCCGTCTGCTAAAATGAAAAACCTCTAACTGCTGTAATAAATTTGGCTAAATTAGCTGCTAAATGGTTATCTCAAGTAATATGTATTTGCATTAATCATCTTGCTCTAAACCAGAACAAGCCAGAGTCCTAAAGATGTAGTAAATTCATATTGTCCATTTAATTACGGCTAATAAGTGCTTCATATACAATAGTTTCGTGAAGTACATTTTGATTTTTTTGGGGGGGGGTTGGATGGGTAAAGGGAAGTCACTTTGGAAAAGAGCCGTGTTTTAAGGCTGTGGAAGCTCATCCCGTCACATCCAAGCCACTCTTCGTGGCTCCAAAGGTGATCACAAAATCCCCCTCCACATCGCCATGTCCCTAAACATAGAAGCCCCGATGCCGGTCTCCCATGCTCCCTTTGCCTCACGATGCACTCAATGGATGGCTGTAAAATGTAATAATTATGTCTTCACAGTTGCTTGAGAAAGATTGGCTTTGATGAGTGCTTCACATAGTGGCAAGCTCTGTTCTGAAACTACTCAGCAGTTCAGGGTATTTTTAAGGCCCGGAACTGTCACTTCTCCTGGCGGCGAGGTTCCAAAGGTAGCATTGTCCTCTCCTTTTGTAGGCAATTGTAAGTTCTGCCATTCTGCATGCATGGCTTCCCAGGCTACAAAACTGCGTGGTGAAGCTGAGAGCAGGAAAATACTAACTCTGCCGTACAGCTCTTCTGTCAAATCGCTGTTGCATGCAACAAGATGTGCTTTTATTCAAATCCTCTCAACCTGGTTACCTATTAATAGAGGAAGGATGGGTTATGAAATTTTGCCCACTATTTTCACAGAGAGAAACGGAGAGCACCCCCATCGGCGGTCGGTGTATAATTCTATCTGCTCTTGTCTCTGGACTAAGGAATAATTGCAAATGGATCTAGTATTTTTAACGAGGGCAAAGAGATGAAGAGGCCCCTTTTTTTGGAATCTCACCTGAAGAAAACACTGAGCTGGCAGGCCAGATCAGCCCAGCCTGGCTGGGGATTCCGGACTGCACTGTGACCATTGGTAGGCAAAAAAAAAAAAAAAATTATCCCCAGGATACAGTGCATAGAAAGGGGAAAAGTGCGAAAGGACTTCTAAAGTTAAATTAGAATTTGCAGAATCAACATAAAGATCCCCCCCACCCATTCCTTATAATACTTTCTCTTCTTTAAAAACAAAGAAACAGGGCGCCTGGGTGGCTCAGATGGTTAAGCGTCTGCCTTCTGCTCAGGTCATGATCCCAGGCTCCTGGGATCGAGTCCCGCATCGGGCTCCCTGCTCAGTGGGGAAGCCTGCTTCTCCCTCTGCTTCTCTCTCTCTCTCTCTCTCTCTCTCTCTCTCATGAATAAATAAATAAAATCTTTAAAAAAAACCCCAAAGAAACAAAATCTCAATTCTGAAATGCATAGCCAGCAAAAACATCTGCCTCCTTGGTGAGCTCCACGTGTGTGCCGTGAAAGGCGCCGAAAGACTAATGTGGTGTCGTCTTTTGGAGCTAAGGTAGTATGACTCTGTTTCCCGAGAATAAATACAGATTTAGTAGGGCCCAATAATGCAGGCTTCTCCATCAGCCTGGCCAAGGGCCATCTAGCAAAGAGAGGAGACCTAACTGAGAGAGGCAGGCTTGGTAGGTCTTCGTGTGAGGAAGTGATTGTGGAGGGACCGCTGAGGAAGGGGGCCCCCTCAGGCTCCTTTGGGGAGTCAGGCAGCCGCCTGAGTGCCATAAGGTGCTGTGGGGAATGCCACAAAGCAGGTCTGGGAGCCCATCGCGGTTGGCAGGAGAAAACAAGTTTCATCTAATCCATTCCCCTAATCCCTGGGCCAGCCGGACAAACGGTTCTGCAGAGGCGAAGGTGCATTCTGGCCTGGACGCCGGTCTTGGCTCTTTCCTGAGGACTAGCATTTTCTGAATACGACCTCCATGTGTCAGTGGGAAATCGGACAGTGAGAGAGAAGGTACTGAGTTAGCTCCTGCTACAGCAGGAAATGGGGACCAAAATATTGCCCTAGCTGGTTTTGTTTTCCAGGAGGTCCCACAAAAAGAAGTCACAATGGAATTTTGCTTCTTTTAAGATGAACAAGGAATCATTTTTGCTTGGGGCTCCAGAATATAAATTTATGACTTTGGGATGAAGCTTCTTTCTTTAAAAAAAAAAAAAAAATCATACTGGCAAATCAGTTGGATCATTCCAGCTGCGCCAGAGGCAGGCTCTGACAGTTTTTCCTGAGCTCATGTGGTCCTAATCAGCTCAAGAAGAAAAGCCACCTTGGTGCCAGTTTGAAAGAGATTTTTAGTTTGTAATAAATTAGACAACTTGAAAAAACAAAAACTTTTTCAATTCGCTTTAATCCGGTGGCTGTTGTTTTTTATTTGTGAGTTTTAGCTTTAGCTAATGGAGCAAAATGAGAGAATGTTTGTGTCAGGCACTCTCCTAAAATCCCCTTTGTGGGGAAAATCCGAAAAAAGCATGACGTAAGTTACTTGATATGGAAGTCCTAAAAAAACAGCTAATTGTCCCTTGAAAAGAGATACATAGTCATCAAACCAATGAGCTGCAGACTAAGTTCATAACAATGTGCTCAAACTAAACTATAAAGAGAGGAAGCAGAGAGAGAAAGAAAATTTATATGTGGGTCGTATTTTTAGCTTTATACCATGATATGGTCTGAGTACTTTTAATACATAACCTGGCATCTTTGATGTATCTCAAAGTTTACTTTTTGGTGTCCAAAATTTTTGACAGAGCAGCCCGTGTGCCCCTTGCTGGATTCACTGGTCACATCACAACATCTCTAGAATTATGTCGTTTAGGTTGTACCATAGGAATTAGTTTTTATATAAGGCTCTCACAACGTTTTGATGGCCTTTACGGGGATTATACAGGGTAATCGTGAAGACATGGGGAGGATGGATACGTGTTTCCTAGGTTCACTTACAATCTTGAAGGGTCCCAGGTATCATTCTGAGCACCTCTGCTAGCACGGTGAGAACTTGTTTCTTTTACTCTGAAGTCCAGGGTGTAACCAATTGTTCTTGGCTACTGTTGCTCTCAGGAGAACCAAGAAGTGGTCATCAGCGCCTCCCCACATTGCAAGCTGAAGGTGCCTTTGAGTTACAGGCTGTGCCCTTTAGAGGACAGAGGTGACTCCACGTTTGTGAGAAGAATATAACAAAGAGAAGCAATTCCTGCTGGTTGAACTGTTCCAGTCCTGCTCATCTGACAATTTTTGGCTATTGGCATCAAAATCCCACCCACCCCCAGTTGTGAAGGGAGTGACCAATACAGTTCAATCAAAAGAAAACTGCAGGGTGTTACTGAATATCTTTGAAAAATGTCACCTGGCCTCTTGGCTTGAGTTTAGTGGGAGGCATACGAGAAATGTCCTGCCTGTGGAGGAGAACACCTCTCCCCCTCAACCTGATGAACTCTTGCTGAAGCACACATCCATGGCTCTGCACACAGGCACCAACAGAGGGATTTCAGTTTTCCTTGGGAAAACTTCGTCCCCAGAAATAGACCGATGATTGAAAGGACATAAAGGAAGCCTGTGTCTGTGGCAGGCACATAATTCTGTTAGTAAATCAAAACAAATCAGTACAAGTTTGCCTTCAGAAATATGGAGAAAAAAAGAGAACATGGTCTCTTCCTGTTGGGCTGTTCTACCAAATCAAAGCCAAAGATTCTAAATAGTGAGTTACTTGTGTCTTAAAAAAGAAGGAAGCAGTCTAATTCAGTTTGAAGAGGAGATGAAGAACACATATCAAAAGCGGTCTTTTAGCAAAATGTCTCACAAAAGGACATTTTAGTGGTTTGCATATGCATTAAAAAGCTGCAATACTTGGCGTATTCAGGTAAGTATAGAATAAATAGGAAATGGTGAGATCATCGGAGATTGCACACTTCACATT